CAATGCCAACAGCACTGAAACGTACACTAGTTTATCAAAAGTTGGCCAGAATGCATTTCACAGACACAGTACATCTCGAATTCAACAGACTGAGAACAGACAGGAATTGCAGCTCGACCGGTCTAAAGTAAAGTGCAACCGTTGAAAGGCCCGACGTGAAACGAAGCCCCAGTCTGAAAGACGACTGCAGTACGGAGATAGTTTAGGTTGCAAGGTCAGAGGCAGCCACTTGTTGGCAAACTTACTAGGTAATAGACAATAGAATAGAACCAGAGGAGAGAATACTGCTGAAGGTGTCTTGCGGGCGAATGGTCCTATCTGGCAGTTCACTTCGCGAGAGGGCTTTGCTAGAGTATCCCCACTTACAGCTTACTGACTCGGTCGTCTAGCGAATAGCGCGGGGTGGTAAGTGAGGATTTGCATGGCGGATCTAGCGCAAAACTATGACTTGGTACTTTGAAGCCACAGGGTAGTTTGGATCAGGTCTATCCTATGAGAGTAACCGCAGAACCCTACGTACGTTTGTCGGAGGCCGACCACAGCCAGCATAATGATATGTAGGATAAACAGTACAAATTTGTGACGGTGATGGGAGATGGAGTGAGGTCAGCAGTGAATGAATCATAGGGAGTTCGTATCTTACAGGTCAAAAGCTGTATGGTTACACGCTTCGGTCATCAAGTATGGCTCGTACCGTACGCCGACCAAGCTGAGCTCATGACTCGCAAGCCGTTATCTCAGGTAGGTGAGAAGAAGAGCAACCTCACTTTACTTCAAAGAGTGATGAATTATAGTGACCCGTTTACCTAACCCCTAACCATTGAGACAGCTGATATGAGTAACATCGAATGCGCTCGAAAACTATCACTCGGTATAACAGAGTGAGCCATAAGAGCGCACAATAAATCATAGGATGAATGCGATAATGCAGTGATCACTGAAACACCTGATGGAGGATGGTGGGAATCCTGACAAAAAGATAAGGTTGGAATGCACTGTATCGAAAAGTAAGATAGTTGATGGTATAAAAGAAAGGGTGAATTAAAGTGAAAGACTGAAAAGCGCACCTAGCTTCCATTTCAACACGTGGTCCCACAATAAACCAACATCGCTTGTGTCATGCCTATTCACTTTCGATACCTGGTATCCGATTTATAATGGTTGTTAAATGGTTAATTGGGGTGTAGTTTTAGAAGAACTGATGTGTCTTAGCCAACTGATGACATTGAGAGCACACTTACACGAGTGTCAAGTTTCAGTGTCACTGGTTAACCGTTAAAGTAGGCTGTCCCCAGTAACTGCTACAATTACTGTCAGTTCAGTGATGTAACTGAATGTGAAACTCATTTGCTGAGATAAGTACATCTACGAAACACGATGAAAGCAAGACACTGCCTGTTTGCAAACTCCCCCATTTCCACCCTAACCATATGAAAAGTATAGATCAATGTGGAGGGCACATAGTTCACTTCGACTCCTGTTCATAAAAGTGATAGCGCGGTCATCACAGAGTATGCAACAGAAGTATGAGATTTGGTCGAGTGGAAATGTAAGTTTCGTTGTAAATAACAGTCGATAGAAGTGAAACGAACAAAAAGCGCCACTTACGAGGGACACAGGTGGCAAACTTGAGATCTTGCAGCAGGGAGTCCATCACAGGTTCCTTCATAGGTCCGAATATAAGAAGCGGACGTGCCATGTGAATGGAGACTGGAACCACGGTCTCATAGCTACGAATCGCCTCGGGGTCAGCTGAAACAAGCAACGGAGGGGGTAAGAATCGCTACACCGTGGGGTTAGTGCTGATGGGTCAGAAGCAAGTGAATGCAAATATAAAAAATAAACAACCAGGTGGGGGAAATGTGCAAATATGATAGGAGCAGGACACGTCGAATGGTTGTCTAGATACATAACACCAACTCCATGGTTAGTCTCGCCAATGCATCGAGATTAGTGCCAGCGCAAGGAGCCAATTTTAAAAAAAATATATACTGGATGTTGTGAAGTACGAGAATTGGTCTATGTTCGACGCTGTGACAATGTCAGATTGATGTCGTCCGACTAGCGCGATAACACTCTGTTCTAGGCCTAAGGAAATCTGGAGGAAAAACACCGTCGTTAGAAGCATTAGTGCAGTGCTTACTGATGCGAACAACATGGAGTGTGGTCAAAAGTTTAGAAAGTGGTGTATCACTAAGTGATAGGTAATGGTGCACCAATAGAGGAACTCCTTGGAGATTTTCGACGGAGGAAGCAAATCTTCAACTCATAGGCAAGACAAAATGGGTAAAAGCGTGTGTATGCACACATGTTGAGCTATCAATGCGACGTGTGCATCATGCCAACAACGCAAAAAGGAGAACGTACTCTCGGAAAGAGAACAAATAGGGTTCTGTAGACACGGGAACGAAAAGTCATCTTTTTTGTGACCTCGAGTGGAGAAACGTTTGAGTAAACTTTGAGTAACACTGCTCGACCGATGCTTCTTTTGTACATCATGCGGGACTGGAAAAGTG